GCATAAGTAAGAATTCAAGATACTAAAGAGCTGAACAGAAGATTCCAAAAGGCAGGTCAGAATGACAAAGCAAAATATTACAATGGAATGTGCGAGAATCTAGAGTCGGAAAATCAAAAGGGCAGAACTCGTTCAGCATTTCTTAAGCTCAAGGAACTGAAGAACAAATTCAAACCTACAGTTGCTATAATCAAGGATGCTTTAGGCAGAATATTAAATGATCCAGGAGGTATTAAAAGAAGATGGAAGGAATATACTGAGTCATTGTATCAAAAGGAATTGGCAGATACAGAAGAATTTGATGAAATAACATTTGAGCAAGAGCCTATGGTGATGAAGGAAGAAGTTCAAGCTGCTTTGAAGGAAATAGCAAAAAATAAGGCCCCAGGAACAGATGCTATACCAGTTGACATATTTCAGCTAACATGCTGCCCTGGATGTACTCACCATGTTGTACCAAGAAATCTGGAGAACAACCACTTGGCCAGCTGACTGGAAGAGATCTATATTGAGATCTATATTTGTTCTTATCCCAAAGAAGGGTGACCCAACTGAGTGCGGAAACTACAGAACAATATCATTGATTTCACATGCAAGCAAGATTCTGCTGAAGATTATTCAAAAACGACTGGAACAGCACATCAGCAGAGAACTGCTGGAAGTCCAGGCTGGGTTTAGAATGGTTCATTGTATTAGGGATATTGTAGCTGATGTTAGATGGATCTTAGCTGAAAGCAGGGAATACCAGAAGAATGTGTATCTGTGATTCATTGATTATGCAAAGGCATTTGACTGTGTGGATCATAACAAACTGTGGCTGACTCTGAGAAGAATGGGAATCCCAGAACATTTAATCGTGCTAATGTGAAACCTATACTTGGACCAAGAGGCAGTCGTTAGAACAGAGCAAGGTAACACCGCATGGTTGAAAATTGGGAAGGGTGTACACCAGGGATGAGTCCTATCTCCATACCTTCTCAACCTGTATGCAGAGCAGATTATACGAGAGGCTGGGTTCTGTGAGTAGAAGTGTGACATCAGGATTGGTGGAAGATCTATTAACAATCTGCGTTCTGCAGATGACACAACCCTGCTTGCCGAAACTGAGGAGGACCTCATGCACTTGCTGCGAAGGGTCAAGGACTGCAGCCTTCAGTACGGACTGAGGCTCAATGTCAAGAAGACAAAGATTCTCACCACTGGACCAATTGGTAACATCAGGATGGATGGAGAAGAGATTGAGATTGTTCACAGCTTCAGTTTGCTCGGCTCCACAGCCAACACTCTTGGCACCAACAGCCAGGAAATAAAACAACATATTGCGATGAGAAAGTCTGCTGTTAGGGACCTCTCTAAAGTACTCAAGAGCAATGGTGTCTCTCTGGAGACTAAGGTCCGCCTGATACAGGCCATGGTTTTTGCAATCACTTGTTATGTATCAGAGAGTTGGACAATGACTGGGGAGGATAGAAGGAGAATTGATGCCTTTGAGCTGTGGTGCTGGAGAGGAGTATTGAATGTACCCTGGACTGCCAAGAAAACAAACAGATTCATCCTGGAGAGGGTTAAACCAGGCTACTCCTTGGAGGCAAAGATTCAGGGGCTTCGTCTGACATACTTTGGACATATTGTAAGGAGAGACAGGTCCTTGGAGAGGGACATCATACTTGGGAGGGTGGAGGGACAGCGCAGGAAGGGAAGACCCTCTATAAGGTGGATTGATTCAGTGACTGGGGTAATCAGGAGAGGTGTGTCAGAGGCAGTGCAATTGGCACAGGATAGAGCAGGGTTTAGGGCTGTTGTACATAGGGTCTCTATGAGTCACAAATGACTCGACGGCACATAGCAACAACAACAAGAAGTCTGAATTCATGGTGCCCGCTCTAAGAAACCTCTCTCTCTGTGAGTTTTCTGGAAGTAATTATGTCTTCAAACTTATGCTTCTGGTGATCTTCATGAGGCTTGAAATCTGTCTTTTCCCCAGATTGCTTCTTCTGTTGGCTTCCTTTCTTTAATCTCTTTCATACAGAGAAAGAGATTGATTTAAAATACAACCTATGCTAGTCCTATCTCATTAACATACAACTAGTCCACTCCCAAATGGGATTATAGGCACAAGCATAGAGATAAAATTTACAGTACATATTATCACGGGGAAACGATTAACTCCATAACAAGTGCACCATCCCCAGGACATACTTGTTTGTTCTTTTGGCTGCCCATAGGATGAACAGTGCCATATATATATATATATATAATATAATATAATATATATATAATCTCCATCCATCCTCAGAGTGAAGTTTTGACAAATCTTACTCTAAATAAATTCACCCATACATACTTATCATATATACATTCATCACCTCAGCTGATAAACATCAGATCTGGACTACCTGGATTGCTATGATTCTGTTATTAGGCAATTTGCTCTGAAGTCATAGAAAACCCTATGGAGCTTGTTCAGCTCTCCACATGTTGGGTTTCCCTGAGTTAAAGCCAATTTGATTGTAATAGACACCATCATCAGTGAACGGGGGGGGGGGGCGGCGGGGAAGATCATCAACAAGATGGACTAACACAGTGACTGAGCCCCAGTATGTTAGAGATGATGAGGATGGCATGGGATAGGGCAAGGTTCAGATCTGCTGTTCTTAGGGTTCGTATGACGTTAGTCATAGTCACCTCGATGGCCCCTAATAACAACACCTCCACCATCAGGGAGCTCTGGTGACCGAGTAGACAAGAAGCTGTCCTGTCAACCCAAAGAGAGGCATTCCAAATCTACCAGCTGCTTCTTGGAGAAAGGTGGGTGTGTATTCTCTTCCTTTGTGATATATGTTGTTGTTAGGTGCCATCAAGTCAAGTACAACTCACAGTGACTTTGTGAACAACAGACTGAACCCTGTCCTTTCCTGTGCCATCCTCACAATCTCTGATACCCTCGAGCCCATTGCTGCAGTCACTATGTCAGTCCACCTGGTTCAGAGTCTTCCTCTCTTTCAGTGCCCCTCCACCTTCCCAAGTGTGAAGTACCTCTCCAAGGAATAACTTCTCCCAGCAACATGCCCAAAGTATGTGAGACAAAGCTATAATGTGCACCTTTGAGCGTTCTGGAATTCAGTGTTATAATTTGTTATAATCCACACAGTCAGATGCCTTTACATAGTCAATAAAACACAAATAAACATCTTTCTGATATTCTCTGCTTAGATCAAGACCCATCTGACATAAGCATCTCTTTCTTCTGAATCCTGCTTGAATGTCTCTAACAGTTCCTTGTCTTTGTACTGCTGTAACATAACCGTCCCCCCATTATCTTCAGCAACATTTTCCTTTGTGTTTTATATTGCTCAGTAATTTCTACACTCTGTTGGATTACTTTTCTTTGAAATGAGTACAAATACGATCTCTTCCAAATTGGTTGACCAGGAAATAGTCTTCCAAATGTCTTGGTACAAATGAGTAAACATGTCTAGTGCTGCATTTGTTTATTGACACAGTTCATTGGTGTTCTGCCAATCTCTGAAGTCTTGTTTTTGCCAATGCCTTCAATAAACCTTGGATTTTTTTCAGTCCCATCAGTTCTTGAACATATGCTTCCACCTGAAATAGTTGAATGTCGGCTCTTTTTGGTACAGTGACTCTGAGTAGTTTTTACATCTTTTGATGCCTTTTGTGCTTATATACTTAATCAGTATTTCACCTCAAGGCTTAAATTTCTTATTCCATTCTTTATACTCTAGAAATGCTAAATGAATTCTTCCCTTTTTGGTTTTCTAACTCCAGGTCTTTGAACATTTTATTATAATATTTTGTCTTCTGGAGCCACCATTTGAAAACTTCTGTTCAGGTCTTTTATGTCACCATTTCTTCTATTTGCTAGTATAGGTAAATTATAAAGCAATACATATAAAGGTACCCCTACTCCCACCCCCACCCCATTTTGTACACAGAGAGGGGCCGGGGTGGGGGGAGAGAGAGAGAGTTCTGAATGACAATGAATGGCTTTTGCCCATATTAGTGGTAAGGAGTTGTATTGCCAATCCAAAGATGTTGTTGTTGTTGTTGATTGCTGTCAAGTCAGCATGACTCATAGCGACCCTATGAACAGAAGACTTAAAGCCTTTCTGTATTGTCATTTCTCCAACTTCATACAGTTTCCAGAAGAGGTGGATGCCATTCCTGCTTCCCAACCTGTCTTAAAACTGGGAGCCTCACCAAACACTGTCCCACTATGGGGAACCATTATGGCATATGACATCCCAGTGGCACAAGGTTCAGCATCACAACAAACCCAGATTACCTCAGTACAACAAATTGAGAGAAGAGTGCTGTATGACTTAGAAGAATATTCCTCCAAAATATAATAATATGGGGCCCGAGGGCCCCCCAGGAGGTCTTGTTGACACTTAAACAAGAGGCTTAAATCTAAGAAAACAAACCAACATTCCACAGGACCAACCAGCAACCCAGAAGAGTGCCCGTCTTACCAAGTCCTCCAAAAACACACCATTTAGGCCAGTTCTGACTTGTTGACAATGTGTTTGTTTTTTCAGTTACTATACAGTTTAAATACTGTATAGTTTACCCAAAACATGGAATTTTAATTTGGTCATTTAGATGGGAAAATTAATTTAATGATTCTTTGCCTACAGTATATGTATATACATAGGTCTCTGTTATAGGAAACCCTTTTGAATTCTTCATGTTAAGATTTCTGACCATGGTGCTATCCCCCATCTTCCTTCAAACTACTCACTATCATTCTTTGTAGACTTGGACACTCAAGTGCACGCAGTTCCCTGCATCTGGGATATATTTATTTTGTTTTAAAAAGAAGTACCAAATTTGGTCAAAGCATATTTGGAGATAGAAGAAGCAACTCTTGGAGCAAATTATTAGCAATTGTAATAGGTTTGTGGGATTCACAAAGACCTTCTTGTAGAGACAGGACAGCTAAATATTCAGTTTGTGACTTTTCCATAGGTACTGCTGTCATGTCCCACCAGCCACTCAGCTGCCTGACTGAAAAAAGGGGTAACCCCAACGAAAGCACAGGAAATGGGCCCCCCAACCTGGCTCACCCAAACCTGGACACATTTACCCCAGAGGAGCTGCTGCAGCAGATGAAGGAACTCCTTGTTGAAAACCATCAACTCAAAGGTGAGTGAGGATAGTGGCCCCTTGTTTCTGCCTGCACCCTGGGCCTTCATGAAATGTAATTCCTTTGTAAAAAGGTTTGTAGATACACACCCTTATCTTTATCTGTGTCCCTGTGGAGAGAGTCTAAAAGGGCTGTGTCATTTACTTTTGGACACAGTTAAAAAGAGAAAGTACTATTTATATTTCAGGGACATAACATAAGGCATTTACCCACTGCACATTTGATTCTGGCTCATGATACCCACCCACAGTTGAGTCTGTCTCCTAATGACTCCCTGCAAGTCTCCAGGGCTGTAAATCTTTATAGGAAGAGACTGCCCATCTTTCTGCCATGAAGTGGCTGGCAAAAAAGGATGCAGCAGTCGGCATCGGTAAAAACTGCAGCCTTGTCAACACTAGGAGAGGCTCTACTCTACTCAGGAGGTAGAATTGATAGCAGTAGGTTTGAGGGTTTCATTTTATGGGTTGTTTTGGGTTTTTAAATCTTTATGGAAGTGGAATTTTATCTTTCTTCTGAGGAACAGCTAGTACATTCAAACTGGCCTTTTGTTAGCAGCCAACCACTCAGCCATTGTGCCACAAGGGCTCCTTTTCAAAAGAAGATAAGATAGTGATACTACAGAGTTAAACCACTGCTGTTGAGTCAGTTCTGACTCAGAGCAGCCCTCCATCAGGTTTCCAAGACTGCACTCTTTACAGGAGGAGACTGCCAGAGCAGGTCAACATGTAATGTACAGTGTCACTAAGCTTCCTTAGATATTTATTGCTGTTGTTAGGTGCTGTGTGTTGTGGAGTCAGCCGTGACTCAGAGCAACTCTGTGAACATCAGATTAAAACTGTACCTATCCTACTCCATTCTCACAATCTCTGCCATGCTCAAGCTTGTTGGTGTAGTCACTGTGTCAGTCATCTCGTTCTGGGTCTTCTAGCTCTTTGCTGACCCTCCACTTTTCCTAGCATGTCTTTTTCCGAGGACTAGTCCCTCCCTAACAACATGCTCAAAGTATGTGGGACGAAGTTCCCCATCTTTGCCTCCAAGGAGTACCCTACGTGCATTTTCTCCAAGACAGGTTTGTTCTTTTTGCAGTCAGTGGTATACTCTTCTCCAGCACCATAAGTCAAAGGCAGCAGGGTTTTCTTCCTTCTTATTCACTGTCTAACTATCACATACATATGAAGCAATTGAAACTACCAATTTCAAGTTGAGTTTCCTGTGTAAGGTGTACCTTAGTCTTCAAAATGACATCCTTGCTCTTTAAAGAGGTCCTTGACAGGAAGACTTTGTACAGTGTTAGTACTAGATATTGAGTCAAGGGTTTGGTATAGTCTTTTTCCTGCCAACTCTTGGGCCCATGACGTGTGTAACCTCTGTAGATTCAGAGCGAGGTGGTTATCTAAGGGGATGTTTGATTCATCAAATGGCATTTACTCCCTTCACTTTTAACCCCTCATAGAGGCAATGAAGCTAAATAATCAAGCTATGAAGGGGCGTTTTGAGGAGCTTTCAGCATGGACAGAGAAACAGAAAGAAGAACGCCAGTACTTTGAGATTCAGAGCAAAGAAGCCAAAGAACGCCTAATAACTTTGAATCATGAAAATGAAAAATTGAAGGAAGAGCTTGAGAAGCTAAAAGGAAAAGCAGAACAGTCATTTGAGGTAAGCACATTAATCAGTTGTGATTTTATTTTGTTAATGCCTTGTAGTAGAATTGTCTAGACTTTAGATTAAAAGTTTTCCCAATTCACTCTGGACTGATGATCTGTGTAGTCTTAAAAATTAAGTGTTTTTGCTGAGTAGATTAATTACAATTTAAGACTCATGTGCCGGGCTGAATTAAGGATGTTAAAGCCCTAAACACTTATATACATGGTGGTCTTTCTTCTCTTTAGTTATAAACCAGATATGTCTGTGTATATGGAGGGAGGTGGAGTTAGTATATCTGTCTTAGCTATCCATGATTTCATCTCTTTTTAAATGAATTATAATATTAGTAATTGACTGCAAAAGTGGTTTTTGTATGCCATTTTAATGAAATTAGATGAACTGCTCTGTGAAATTTGTAGTGGGTGCTCAGTATTATTTTTTCCATCACATTTTCACCAGAGAGAATATTCCACATATTCTACATCAAAGAAAGTAAGTCTATTAACTTAGTTGTTTCGGCAATGTAAAATTCTATTGATCTTTCACCATGAAAAATTAACTCTCAATGATTTCATTTTAAACAGCTCATACTTTAATTTTGATACTTGTTTTGCAATTTGTGATACAATTATAAAGGAACAAATGATTAGCATCAGTCATTGTGTCCTCTGCAACAGACAATGAAATGAAACTCTCACTCTTCAACTCCATTTTATGAGACGATGGAAATATTCTGCTTTAGTAAATTCATGTTTGTATTAAAGTGTTCAGTTCAACAGTTATATCGCATCTAATGTTTCAATTTTGTCTTATATTTCAGAGAACATTGTTGTTTTAATTGTTGTTGAGTCAATTCCAGTTTATGGTGAACCTTGTGTATGTAGAAGTACTCTGTTAGGTCACTTGTTCCAGGGAAATCTCTTATTATTTTTAAGAAAGAAGACTCTTGAAGAAATATTTACCTGGAATATATGGATAATTTCCTGTTCTGTGAAAGAATGTGTCTTTATCAATTCCCTCTGTTGACTTTTGAGATGTGAACTGACAAACTGCTGAGGCCAGTCACTTTGTAGGCAGGAAGGAAATTTTCAGGGATTTGTCTATTGAGATAATCTGCCTATAGATTTTCATAAAAGTTCCTAGTATTGGAAAAAATTGAGATCCAGAGTTGGAACCTTAGAAAACATCTTTCAGTGTCGATGATAGTTTCAGTAGGTTAAAAACAGGGTTCAATAAATGAGGTGGGTGTTTGGAGAGAAAAGAGACACATTTAGCTCTTAACCCTTTGTTGTCCTCTTTGTTTCCCCTTTTTGTGAAAAGCTGTCCCAGGCCCACCCTATTTTTGTCCCTGACTTTAATTTCTGTTTCATGAGCCACTTGAAGTGTTTTTTTGTTTGTTTTATTTTTACATTTAAGCCTTCATCTACCTGATTTAGTAAAACTCTCAGGCCCTCCTCTGACTTTTCTCACTCATACTGATATATCTCTGTTGCTATTTTCTGTAGATTAGTCACAAGAAATCTCACCAAAAGCCTTCGGGTACTCTTAAGTGTCCTATGATGCACAAGGAAGGGAGTCGAACATTTCCTTTGAGGTCTTCCTTCTGATGCTTAGGGTAAGGCTGAGGCACTAATGGGTCTGCCACTATTCATTGAATTGTGCATTATCATTGTCCTTCGAGAATTGTTTTTAACCTTTAGTTGCACAAATTGCTAGGCAATGAGACATTAGATAAACTTTTTTCCCTGAAATTCTAAGATAATTCTATTAACCTGGGAAAATTTTCAGGACAGTGGAACATTAAACAAATGCATGAAAAGCCAAAGAAATAGTTGTGTTACATAAAGGTGAATGGTAACTACTCAAAGTGATGAAAACTAACAAATAACAGTTGAAGTTGAGATAAAAGAAAATAAACCATGGAAGTTCTAGTCCAGGAAGGGAGTGGACAGAGTTTCAGTATTAAAACGAAGAGAAGTTTACTGAGTTGTTAAAAGGTACTTACTATATGGCCAAGTAAATAAATTCATGAGTTGCCAGGGATAACTGAGAATTCTCACAATTGTGAAAAAGAAAATGGACCTCTCTTTTATCACTAATCCTTGGTCACTTGTTGAAAAGTCTATTTCCCACCCTTGGGTCTGGTGGTGGTAGTTGTTGTTGTATGCTGTTGAGTCAGAACTGACTCATGGCTGACCAAGTGATTTTGGATTGGCAGCCCAACACCTTATCACCAGATCTGCTTAGGCCTGTGGTTAGGTGCCATCGAGTCAAGAACAACTCATAGCGGCTCTATGAACAGCAGATCTGAACCTTACCCTGTTCTGTGCCATCTTCGCCATCTCTGATACACGTGAACTCATTATTACAGTTATGGCATCAGTCTGTCTCCTGGAGAGGCTGCTTCTAACCACATTCCCAAAGTATGTGAGAGGGAGCCTCACCATCCTTGCCTCCGAGGAACACTGGATTGCGCTTTCTCCAAAACATACTTATACTCTTGGCAGTGTATGGGAATTCATTCAATTGGATACTCCTCTCCAACACCGTAACTCAAAGACATCAGTTCTTTTGTCATTCTTATTCATTGTTCAGCTTTCAAGTGCATAGCAAGTAATTGAAAGCTTGGACCAGGTATTCTTCAGTCTTTAAACTGATATCACTGCTCCTTAAAGCCTTAAAGAAGTTCTAGACAGCAGATTTTCCTCTGTGCCATACATCCTCTGATCTCTTGATTGCTGCTACCAAGCATGTTGATTGTGGATCAAAACAAGATGAAGTCATTGTCAACTTCAATCTTTTCTCCATCTGTCGTTACCTTTAAAATGTCAAAAGAGCTACTACCTTCTTCATTCCTCACTCATACTTCCTCCTGGTTGAGACACTGAAGGACCAGCTTCTTTTTCTCACGTATGAAGAATATTTGGGATTCTGCTAAGGATGAACAAAAACCTCAGCTGCATTTGTCTATGATCTCAGAAGATTTTGCAGCTGGGCTGCTTCCTTTCTATCCCAGGCTGGGGGAACAGTGCTCATTGAATAGCTTCTGGTACCTACTTTCCAGTGGATGGGAGGAGTGTTTTGTGCCTGCCAGCAGTACAAACCCTTGCCTAAAACCAAGAGCACTTTGAAAGTGCCGCAGAATTGCATGCCAATGACCCAGCACCCAAGACGCAGGAAGAGTCCAAGTCACCTGAAGCAGAAGCTGGTCGTCTAAAACCGCAAGACTCTCTTCTCTGCCATCCTCCCTTGGATCTGAAGACAAATGGAAATTGAGACCAGTGGAGATGGATACATCCTAAATAATGCCCTCCTCCCTCTCATCCTCTCTCATCAACTTTGTGTTGAAAATTCAAGAAGAAAACAGGATTGATTATGACGGTAGTTTTGAAGGCCTGCACTTTGACTAGTAGCTCTCACCAGTTCAATCTTTTATTTCTTCTAACTCTTCTAGAACAATGACTGCTTCGTCTACTAAAGAAGGTAATGAATATTGTTTAATTGGTCCTAAAAAATGTCAAGAGAGTAGATAAGAAGATTCCTGTTATGGCATAACTTTCTTATTTCCTAGTTCTAAGCTAAGAATTTCCTTATTACCTGACTGCTGGTACTAAGGGTGTTGATTGTAGATACAAGACACATGAAGTTGTTGACAGTTTCAATCTCCTTTTCCTCCATCATGATGTTGCCTATCAGTCTAGTGGTAAGAATCTTTGTTTTCTTGTCATTGAGATGCAATCCATACAAAGGCTGCATTCCTTGATTTTTTGCAACAAATGCTTTAAGACCGCCTCACTTTCAGCGAGCAAGGTTATGTCGTCTGCATAATGCAGGTTATTGATGAGTCTTCCCCTAGTTCTGATGCCATATTCCTCTTCATAGAGTTCAGCTTCTCAAAAACTTACTCAGCATCCATTAAATAGGTATGGAGAGAGAATACAACTGGGATGCACTCCCTAATTTTAAACCATGCAGTGTTCACCTACTGTGTTCACACAACAGCCTTATGGTCCAGGTAAAGGTTTCGCATGAGCTCAATTAAGTACTCTGGGACTTCTATTCTTCTCAATGTCAACCACATCTTGTTATGATCCACACAGTCAAATGCCTTTGCATAGTCAATCAAACACAAATAGACTTGAAGGCACCTATCAACAAGAAGAAGCAGCTAAGAATCTTTCCTTTCATTGTAATATTTTAAAATTTGTTTCTTCTCACAAAAAAAATAATAAAATTTGTTTCTTCTGATGAGTCACGACTCATCTAAGATGTAACAAAACTTTTAAACTTTCCCTTGTATATCACTTTAATTTCCTAATGAATTGCTTTTCTCTAAGTCTTGTGGTAGTTTACCAGTAAAGGAATGCTTTAAATAAAGAAGAGCATTATCCTTATAATGTGAGAAAAATTTTCCTATTTTGTGAACTGCTTGATTTACAGTTCATCCAAATGCCTTCCTGTTGCTCTTCCCGTTAACTGTAAACCTTTGGACCTCTATACCATTTCTTAGGAACTCCGTCACAGAGAGGACAAGGTTGAGGAAAGATAAAACTCAAACAAGTGGGCAACAAGTATAAAATGCTTTATTTAAGTCACTTGTGAGGAGAATCTGTAGAGAACATTTAATAGGGCTCTCGTTTCTCAAGAGTAATCAATATTTTCCATTTAAAGGTGGTTTTCAGGTGTTTGTACACCACAGTATTAGAGTGGTGTGTAATTCTGCTTTAAATGTCTGTGTAATTGTGCTTTAAAATGCATTGCAAGTTTATGAAATTCTCACATTTGTATTGCTGCTTTGGAAAGGGAGTTAGAGTGTGGCGCTATGAGTAGAAGAGCAGTGAGTTTCCTGAGAAAGAAAGCAGAGAGACCACCAGTGCCGTCTCTTTTCCAAACCAAGAATATTGAGGCTGAGCCATAAATGAATTTTCTCAAGTACGCTCAGTGACTGTCCCTTCAAAATAAAAACACCAAAATTTTTCCTTTATGACGTTGGCCTATGGGACAGACTGAAG